AAAAAAAAAAAATACCACCAATTAATTTTTCAATTTGTACGTCTTTGCAGTTAGTTCTGTTAACAAATCAATAACATTGCCCACTATACAGAACCATAATGGCCTTTGTGACCCACCATCACACTGCCACTGCTACCATGTTGGGCACCGATTCCTGCCACTCCCCACCACTGTCTCTCTTTTGATGCACCACTTCAACATTGGATCATTCATTTAAGATGTAAAGTCGTGTGATTTTATCATCTTGAAAAGTCACTATTTCAATTAAAACCACCGCCAAGGTAAATATGTGTAATTTTTCTTTTTAAAATACACATTATGTGGTTTTAAGCAATTTTTGAAAGCTCTGAGCATCAATGATTTAGCTTTCACAAATAAGCACTTACTGCATAGACCCTAACAGTGTACCCTCTAATATGACCTTGTTGGTCGCTTAACTATACTAAGTTGTACTTTGCATGCTTGATAACAGGTAGCTTGTGCTTGTGAGAATTGAGATTTGGTGAATTTTCTCTCATTATTTGTTTGGGCAGATTATTAATATGTTCATATCTTCCTACAGGTTTTGTATTATGATGCTGATCTTGGTGGAGAAGCAATGAATTTCCGCGAGGTGTTTCTTCACAGTCAAGCTCTTGAAGGCATGACATTGTCCATGGTAAGCTGATGAATAGTTTCTTTCGGTTCCATAATCATATACAGTGTGTCCCAGCAATTGACTTTGCATATGTCCCTGCTTTTTGCTCTCTTCTACTTTGGACTCGGAGGATACGAGTTAAGAATAGCACAAGAAATTATAACCGATCAGCTATTGTTCTGTCTTGGAGGCTTGATTGACAAGATACTTATTGTCTTTATAAAAAAATGGACCTGAGACCAAAATTTGAAGCATTATGATTTAAGGGCCACAGTTATTTTTATATTTTTTGATCGCAAACAAATGATTATTACTAATGTTAAGGGCCAAAGTAATGGCAGCCAATCATTTGTTGACCTCCTTGGAAAACATGTCATCGTTGGGTTAGGAGGGAATTTGCAAGTGCGTGTTTGGTCGCATGGTGAACGTCAACTTTGTGAGTTTCAGGCACAGTTTATGATATACCACACTAAGCTCTTGGCCATCAATACCAATAACAATGAAGGCTGTTGTCCTTTGATGATGAGAGATGCCCTTTTCCCTGAAACTTATTTTCTGCAATTGTTTATTTGAAAGTATTATTGGCTTCATTGAAACCTCAAAATTGGGATTTCAAACTTAATCCATTCTTGGTTTATGCTGTTCTGTCCTTGCTTGTTGCATTGGGGATATATTCATCCAGTTATGAAAGGAAATTTTCTAGAATCTTAGCCGTCATGGCAATGCACTTGGTATTTTTTTTCCTGTTTCCTGAAAGTTGATTCACTTGGTATTGCATAAAATTGTTGAGATGGATGGGAGGCATTAAAAGGAAGGATTCAAAGAAATGAATGCTTTCACAAGTAGATTGAAAGTGGCAGCCTTGAAGCTAAAATAAGGGAAAGTTTTCTGTAGAGAGGGACATCATTGTCTTGATGATATGGCTTTGCAAAGAGCTAGCGGAGAAACCAAATCCAAATAGCCAACTACAAATAGTAGGGATCAAGGATCTACTGATTGTAAAGGCATTTGAAGAGTCTATCCATGTCTCATGAAATCATCCCAGTGTCATGAAATATGCAATTAATTAATTGATTTGGGTCTTGAGGGTAAAACAGAGGGCTTCAAAGTTGAAATTTGACTAATTAGAACATATTTTGTTATTCAATTTTGTCTAATGATATTAGATTTGAGTTTTTTCAATGTTCTCTCCACTATAAGGTCATGAATATTAATATTGTTCTGAATACGACTCGCAGTTCAGAAAATGTGTTATACACTCTTTCAGGAGTAAAATGGGATGTTTTTGCATGCTTTGTTTCTGAAGACTACCATTTGATTGAAAGACCATCCCTACATTTCTTTCATACTCACTATGCCATTTTCTAATTCACATATTGTTTGGTTCTTTACTTGCTGATCTATGGAGGTTAACCACACATTTAACTCTTTTGTTGGACTCAGATTCTTGAAGCACCAAATGATGAGGAAGTTTCTTTACTTCTGGAGATATTTGGGTGATTCTTCTCTCTTTTTTCTGATTTTTTCCGTGCCTTATTACTGAGTCCAAATTCTAACTAAATGGCCGACATTGTGCGACTAGTTAGTCGTAAGAAACAGTAAAATTGCGTGTTAGGATTTTCTGCCTTCCTGCTCAGTACAATTTATCAATGGCTTATCTAATTTTTTGTCTTGGTTTGATGGTATTCAGACTCTGTCTTACAGGAGGAAAGGAAATTCATACTGCAACAATGAGCAGCATACTAAATTTGGCAAAAGCTTTCTCAAGCTATGAAGATGAAGTACTGGTAACATGACAACATAGATTCCTTCAATTAAAAGCATCTTTATGGTTCATGATGATGTTGCAAGAGAAAGTATATGAGCTCACTGATCCTCCCCCGTCCCCAACTCATTGTTCCAGGCCAAGAGAGAAGAACTTCTCCAATATGCTCAAGGTGCAATTGCCGGGCTGAAACAGAATGCTGATATTGCAAGGTGGTTAGAAAAAATTTCTCCCATGATTGGATTAGTTGGCCTTGAGGTTCAGCATTGCACCACCTTAAATGTATTTGCATTCTATGTTTATCTTCATTCTGTATATGTATGTCTATGAATTTGCAGACATGGTATTTATTTTGAGTGCTACCTAAGCAGTGTGTGCTGATTTTTGTGAAACTTGTTCAAAGTTTTTAACTTTTAAAATAATAGTTTCTGCTTTCCTGACAACAATGTTTTGCCCTTAAGTTTTTCCATCCTTTCAGTTAGAGTGCAAATTAGTTGTACATAGGTTTGCTTAATTTTTGTGTTCTACAGTTGAGAAAACAAGCTTTATCATGTCAAGGGACCTTTAATGATAGCCAGTTGTTGTAATTCAATCTTCTAATAGCATGAGTTCGATTCTTCTGTTTCCTGCACTGTTCTTGTTGTTACGTTGATATTTGCATGCCTATAGCTTCGCTACAGTGTAAAACCTTGATTTTAACTTATCTCTTCCCCTGTATTGTGATCTGCTCTCAGGATAGATTTCGAGGTCTCAAATATACGCCAAAACCTTGATGGAATGAGACCCCAGCAGCTTTCCAGTGACGGTGATATAAAATCTTCTGAAGCTACTACTCTCGCAACAGCAGAGGTGAGATACATTTAAAGACTCATTTAATAATCTTATTTCGCTATGTATTAGTGGAGAAGCCTACAAGACTCATGTAATGGTTTGGGAGGTGATATTTTATCAATTTGAGAAAAGCTCTTGACACTCCCGGAATGTGCTAGTGTGGCTCCTACTTGCACGTGTAGAGGTAAACGGAAGAATCGGAAGACAAATACATTGACACAACATATGCACCTATGGCACGAACAAAAGGGAATCATTTGATGAATCAGTGAATCTGAGTCTTGCCCATGCTGTCCCTGAGCCCAAAATCTGATACTTTGTTAGAGCATCCAATCAAAAACCAATTGGCACCAAGTGAAAAGGCCAACAAGGCTCATATACTAGTTTGGGAGGTGCTATCTTATTGATGTGGGACAAGCCCTACAATTTTAGTCTCTGGTTCTAGCTGCTTTTCTGCAACCTAACCAATTTCTTTGTGTCCGCATTACTAGTTGAAGTTGTAGTGAGGACAAACAATGAAATATTTTTGTGCATAGAACCTTCTGATTTTGATGCGTGGTAGAAAATGTTTAGGCTCATTGAAGCCAGATGCCTTTTTCTTTTGCAGGATCTGAAAGCAGCTTGTGCACAAATTCAACTTTGTTCCAGATTGGAGGCACTTTTACTGAAGAAGAAATATTTAAACAATGGGGATGCTCCAGAGATTCACGCTCAAAAGGTGCAATTCCCTCATGTTGATGGTTATAAATGGAAATAAAAAATGGCATCTTGTTGGAGCAAGAATGCCTATTCACGAGCCAATTGTAATTTCGAGATCTTACTGTCTTATGTTTTTTCCAGTATTTTAACCCTGAGCATTTGCCCATAAACCTGGCTCTCTTATCAGCCTCAGTACCTGTACTAGGCTTTGGGTTGCCCTCAACTCTTCAACAAGGAGACAGCTAACACCACTGAGCTCCAAAGCCTGTGGTTATACTGTTTTCTGTGAGAGAATTTTTTCAAACATATACGTAATATCTCCAAGCTTTGAATGGAGTAATCACATGTGAACTAGATGGATAAACAATGTAAACTCCAAAGGGTCCTATTCTCTACTTTTGCCCACTTGGCACAGTTGGATTGAGTTCTATTCTTTTCTTCTCACACCTGCTTCATTTTTTGGCATTCATTTAATGTTTTTAATAAACATGCAGGTTGATAAGTTGAAAATTTTATCAGAATCTCTTGTTAGCTCTGCATCAAAAGCTGAAACACGCATTGCAGACCACAGGTTTTTGGTTATTATTCTGTCAGGTATTTCCAGAGAAGTTTTAGGTGTCACTTCTCATGCTTCCTTATATTCTTAATAGAGGTCAAAAAGAAGAGGCACTTAACTTTCGGGTAACCAAAACCAGTGAAGTTAGCCAACTTGAGAAGGTAAACTCCGATTCAATAATTACTGACGTTCATGGGAAATCTGTCAAAACAACTACATGGAATCAGTTCACACAGATGTGTTCATCTAAGCATGATTAGGCGATATGAGTTTAGATACTATGTGCTCCTTTGTAGAAGCTTCATTTATAAATCACGTGTCCATGGAATTAGTTCACGTAGATGCTTTCATCTGAAATGATTAGAAAGGAGGAGTTGACAGACTATGGATGCTCTTTTGTAGAAACTTCATTTATCAATCATGTGTCCTAAAGCCTGATAGTAGTAGTGCCATAAAACTTTATCTGCTGCATGAGTTGTGATACATATAACAGAAAGTTGTCACATTTTTCTTCGTAACTTCATTTAATTATACTGCTTACGATTGTGCTGGTTTGACTTGTTGAAATGAGTGTCACGTTGGCTTCTCTTTGTAGTAGTGCCTCGACCGGTGAGTGCTGGGTCCCCCATCTCTCTTAAACTTCCCCCGGTCTTTGGCCGGAGCTGTATGATACAGAAAATCATCCCGTGTATGGTTTGGGGGCCAAGCCTCACCCCAGCAGTGAGGGTGCGGCTTAGGTCAATTAAAACAAAGAATATACAGATCACTAAGAGATTCCCTTTGGGTCCTGAAATCCATATGGGCAAGGAGCATTGTTGTTTGCGATGTCTTGATCCTTGGACCCATTTCTCATTCCATTTGTGGGATGATGATCTATGAACCGTCCCTAACTAACGATGGGCTCATGTTTGAGCATGATGAATAACTTCCTGCTGACCAGTTGCCAATATTTTTTTATATTCTCTGGCACTTCACACACATGTTTTTGCTCATCTTGATGTGCAACTCTTGAATGGCTTGAGTTCAATGTGTTTGGCTGGATAATGTCGATTCAGGATACCTGCCAAAAAAGTTTCACCTTTTGCAAACATATGTAAAAAAATCTGCATTCCTTGAAAAATTCTTAGTGTGTGATTTCCTAGTTATATACATATTCCTGTGAAATTAATATAGCTTCGTATGGTTGTAATTCTAGGTATCATAATTAATTATAAGCGTAGAAGAGATCTGTCCGAACTCTAATTCTATTGCTTGAATATATGCATGTTTCTGGTTCCTTAGCATATTATACCGCTTGTGTTGTGCTTTATACTGATTTTGAGTGATTTGAACCGCATGAAGTATAACGGCCTTTTTTAGGAATTGGCAGCTGAGGTCGAAGCACTTGAAAAGCAGAGAGATAAACTTGAAGCTGAGTTGAAAAAGGTACTGAACATTTTTTAATTGATTCCCATCCCTGACAAGAAATCTGTTGATCACTGCTTTGGAAGATACGATTTTTTCAAATTTTATTCATTTAAAATTCCATCTACCAATTATTTGATTGTGAATATGATTATGTGGCGTCATGCCCATTTTTTGGATTGTCATTTTTTATTTTTCTTGCATGTGTCAATGCAAGGGAATGCTTCACTTGAAACTGACATGAAATGGGTATGTGTGTGGGATGTGTCTTACACTTACTATTGGGAAGTGGAAACTTGTCCAGTCTGAGTATCTAACAAAGGAACAAAAGAGCTACTGATTAACTCACAAAGTTGCAGGGAGACAATCTACTTACATTCCTTTCTAGTGCGAATGTCCATGTAATTGAGCAAGCTGGCATGTTAACTTCACTCCACCTTGGTTGATGAATACAGTGGCAAAACTGCATTTCAACCATGTATACTGATTTCGGTGTACTATATATTTGACCCATTTTTTAATTTCAGCAGCAGCACAGAGGCAACATACAGGTTTTGCGGTGGCATTTTTTAGATGGGATATTTGGCAATGTTTAAGGCCACTATTTGATGGTGATATTTTCCATTTCATAATACATGCAAACGTTTTGCTTGCATGGAAGTTTCCTCCGTTAGGAAATGCGTTGTCAGGTTTAATGGTTTGTGCACTCAACCTGATGAAGTGGTAGTTGTCCAAAAGAATGAAAAAAATTTGTGCACCTATGCCCTTTAGAAATTGTGTATGCCAAGTAATTGAAGAAATGCCCAATGTTGAAAGGGTCCAAACCCCTCCCCCCCGCTCCGTAGGCAAATAAAAAAGCCCAAATGCACACCCAGAAAATTTCGTTTATCATATCAGTTTTAATCATACAATATATCTTCACTGCAACTAACCTTGTTATATCTAATGGGTGCATGTTTAGGTCAATACGTCGTTGGCTTCTGCACATGCTCGTCTTCATATTGCAAGAGAAGAAAGAGATCAATTTGATGAAGCTAGCAATCAGCTTCTTCTACACTTGAAGATAAAGGTAGGAGCGTGTTTGCATACTTCGCTCACAACTCAAATGAGATGTATTCAAAATTACTTCATAGACATGCTTTACACCAGAAGTGCATAGTATGCACTGTGAAGTGGGACTCTCAGTTGAGATTCTATTCCTCGATGCTCAATTGTAGGAGGATGAGCTGTCAAGATCTATTGCTTCATATAGAGCAGAAGCGGATGTTTGTAATTCATTTATTAATTTTCTGGAAGGTACCTGGGTTTTTCATGCCTCATACACAGAGCAGAAGGAGAAGCAAGTCAAGTATGAACTCATTCTTTTTGTGCTTGTGGCTTAATTTTAATCCCATTCATTAGTTGTCAATAATTTTTTCTGAGACCTGAAGCAATAGAATTATATCATGAACTTTCCCCTTCATGTTAATATGCTTAGCTAGCTCTTTCTATATCATGTAATTCACGATACATTGTAATTAATGATATTTCTTTTAACGTTCAAGTGATGAGTTGGAGAGATATGAAGATTATTTTGTGAGTTTGGCTGTTCGACTTTTATCTGCTTACAAGGTATTTATTTACTAGTGGCCATGTATATGAGTGAATATTTTATCATCTTATTAGCTGTCATATATTACTGTGCATTTTATATTTTGTTATTGTTCCTTACTAGCATTTATACCTTTTTCTTTTATAACCAGGATGAGTTGGGGCCTTCTATCACAAGTATCAGGAAGCTTGTGGAGAACCTGAAAGAGTATAGTACTTGGTTCCTTTTAAATGTTAAGGGTAAAGAGGAACTACATTTCTAATTTTAAGCATGTGCCAGGTCAGACATGGCAGGTGATGTAAGCAATGACAATACAGAAGAGGTCAACAAAAGGAAAAATCTTGAAGAAGAATATCTGAATTTAGAGGCCAAGGTATTTAGTATACGTACATGTTTGTGTGTATCTATCATAATATATGGATAACTCTGTAGTTCAATACAATGTCTCAGTTTCAGATTCTTTACTTGTATTGTTTTGGATTGAAGTTACTATCAAGCATGATACCTCTCATTTGTTCATCTTCTTAGACGTCCCTTTTGTCAGTGGCACTTGTATATTTGACTGTTTTGGTTTTTCATTTCTTTTTCTATCACTTGTGTGGGAAAATCTGCACATCTGCACAATTTTGGTCATTGATTTACTTAATGAACAAAAATGTCATCCTTTATAGTTTCTGTCACATGGTGCAGTTTATATCTATGTTCAGTATAGTGGAAAGCATCAAAAGGCAGTTCTACACTCAAAGTGAAGAGATTTCTAGGTGAGGTGATCCTATGATGTTGTTACTTTCTTCACACAGTTCATATATGATGCCTCGTGTATTATGTGTTACCCTAATAGTGAGAAACAATGCTCATTCTGCACCAGGAAAGGTGATCATAGGGTAAAAGAAATGTTAGTTGCTCTGGGAAAGATCAAAGATGAATTTGAATCGATCGAGAGACCAACTTTGGAAGCTGAGATTCAAAGCCAGAAAGCAGATACACCATCGAAGGAGAGGCCACAAAGAAGTCTATCTCCCTCTTTTAAACAGGCCTCAAAAGATCAATTTGAATCCAATGAGGGACAAAAGTTTGAATTTGAGACTTCAACGAAAAAATCAGACACTTCAACAAAAGAGAGTCCCCTCAAAAGTCTATCTCCAACTTGCAAACAGACTACTGAGACCTTGGAACACAAGCAAGATGAATTTTCTGAGTTGTCCGCGATTAAGAGTGAAAAGCTGTCGAACCCAGAGGCAGCACTGTCAAAGTTGAAATTGGAGTTGGAATTCGAGAACAATAACAGAAACCTCTCAAAGGAGGAGATTGGTGAGTGGGAATTTGATGAACTTGAAAAGGAACTGAAAAATGATGAATCAGCATCCCATAAGTAGGCCAACCTTGCTCCAATGACAGCTCTCTGTGTTACATAAGCATCCATACAGTATTTGGATTTAGCAAGAAGGCTCCACGAGCCTAGATTGGTTGAGGATCACATTTTTCTTGCAAAATGTTGAGCTGACTATATCAAGCATCCAGTAACTCCGCAGAAGCTACATTTTAGTGAGAGAAATTTGGCTTATGGAGCTTGTAGAGGTTAGAAAATTTGAATATTTGTACATTCTTCAGAATGTTATGCGAAAGAATATGGTTCTATGGAACAAATGTTAGCAGTCTGATTTGTTTGTTTTTTGTCCCGGACTACCCAACTTGGCTTATATTGTTTGTTTCACTCAATCTGAGGGAATCAACCTCTATGATCCGTTAAAACTATGTATCTATTGATTTGATTATTATCAAGAATGGAGATCATGAAGGAGAGGATTTTTGAGTCATGGAATCATTGGTTGCGTTTATGAACTAATGCTTTAATCATTGACCTGAGATATGTTTCATCACAAGGATAATGTCATTATTAGGGGCGAGAGCGTTGGTGCAATGCTAAAGCGGTTATACTCTGATCTGAATGTCACGGATTCAAGTTACAAATACAAGCTCCCCGTAAATGGGGATAAGGTCACCTTCCGTAACGATGATGGTGGGCTGTTTACTGGGCTGCCTTTTTATTTGGGTGACATTATTCATACAAAGCTCTTTGTTGCTTTTAGACTTGGAAAGTCTTTCAACACAGGTTGGAAAGGGTGTTGGTTGAACAAACCTTATGGTCCTGCAATCGCACATTCTACTTTCAGTTACAAAGTATACATTTTGTGAACCAGAAAGTAACTCCACCTAGCAGAACAAGCCATTAGAGTTGGGCCACATCAGAAAGTTATCAGACTGTTTCCTTCGGAGTTTGTCAGGTAAGCCTCATGTGATCAATCTGCTGTGGACTAGACTAGCACAACTGACCTTTTCAGGTTCCCTTATTATTAGAAGATTTGAAGATGATCCTTAAATCCGTAACACCCCAGTTACAATAAAACAATTTTACTATTGTCCCAAGCCCCGCCTTCTATTGATTTTTCAAACTCCCGCAATCCACCAGCTGGAATATAAATCCTCCAGCTGGAATATACTGGTTTAATCTACGCGATTTGTGGGTGATTTCGTGCATTTAAAAAATTTTATCGCAGTCATTAGTCCAAATGACATGTGGTTGCGTAACAAAAATAAAAATAAAAATAAAAATATCTAAGAATGATTTATTAGCTTCATCAATGATTTTCAGGTTACCCAGAAAAGTATCATAAAGAAAGAGGGAGAAACTTTCAGAAAAGGCACTGCTAACAAATGTATAGAAACAAAAGCCTGGAGTCTAATTTTTTTTTTGAGTACTGTAGTCAAACCCAATTATTGGACCCTATAGTGGCTACAAACACTGGTCAAAGAGCTTTAAAGTTAACATCTCAAAAAGAGTAAAGAGGCATATTTTGACCAACCCAAATGAGGAGACCCATAAGAGGGTAATGGCTCAAATCTTGCAGGTGATTATAGAATTAATTGGGCAGTGGAGGTACAAAAAACCAGGTTTTGAGGAATGGGCTGGTTTCAAATTTTGAATATCTGGTTGCAGAGAAGTTGTGGGTGTTGCAGGCATCTGCCAGAATTATTCAATTGTTACTGTAAATAAAAAATGGAATGCTTTTGGACTGAGGTGGGGGACTCAATCCAATGAAATATTCCATATAGATTTACACATACACAAATGACATGTGAAGACGGGTTTTGACGCTACGGTGAGATGGTTACATTATAATTTAAAAGTTATAGATTTGAGTCGCAAAAATAGTCTCTCTAATTAAAGAGATAAGAATGTGTATATCTAACCATTTTCTGACCCCGCAATGACGAGAATCTCATATATTAGGTACACCTTTTACACGTATAACATGTATCATAAACCAAAATTTCAGATTGCATTCAAAAGTTTTATCTATCTTGTAAACATTTATCAGAAAATCAGTAAAATTATTAGTTTTACTCTCTGTCTATGGGAATCGAAACCACGACCAAGTGGTTAAAAGTCATATCCTACTTAATTCTTCTTGTTTTTTTGGAGAATTTATTTTCAAATAATTTTCTTTTCTGTTTAGCATAATTATCTCATATTGGCGAGAATCTTGTTTATTGGATTTTTTTTAAATCGGATTTCTCTAATCAGGAAAACATTACAAACTGAAGTTTTTTTTTTGGAAGGTACAAACTGAAGGTTTTAAATAGTAAGAGTGGGTGAAACAGTGATATTTGTACTTGTCTAGCTCAAGATACAACATTGGATACCATAATAAACTTGCTACATGCCAGAAATATCTGATGGCTCAGAAGATCATGACAAAAAACACATAATACCATACTGAAATTTCATTGTATCTATTTGATAGCATCCACTTGAACCATCCAAGGGAATATGGGTTAATTTTTTTGGTTGCACACAGTCTTAAAATTACCTATATGTAGAGATATATATTTATACTAGTATATATTAAATATCTTTAATTATGTCCACCATACGATTTTTTTAATGCATTAATTATTATACCCAAATGATTATGAACTTTTTAAAAAGTTTTGGACACGTTGTGTACATGTCTTGGTAAGTTTTAGATATATAAGGATCAATTTATAATTTCTAAAAAATTATGAGAATATTTTATTATTGTACAAAATTTAAGGTCACTGTAATAAAAATATAAGGTTATATTTTGTAAGTAATACACAAAACTCAGAGTCACAATTAAATATTACAAAATTACTTAGAGATAGAAATTAAAAAAAAAATTGATATAAGTATATTTGTTTGATAAGATTATGTGCACGGTGATTCTGACACAATAAACGAATGGACAAATCTATCCTTTGATTAACTCGAGTTTATCTAGAAAATCATAGGTTCCGTAGCAAATAGATATTGAGGAATGGTGATAAAGGATTTTGAGACTCTTTCTCAATTATCTTCTCACTCTTGAATGATCAAATCGGGTCCTGTCACTCAAAAAGAAAGTTAGAAGGGTGTCAGAATATTTTTCGGCGTGGACCTTTCGACGATCAAGGTAGTATGTGAAATAGGGGTGGAAAAACACTGTTCTCTTACTTGGGTCAGGTGTCCTGCTTTTTGGAATGCAAGGATGCTTTCCCTTTTATTAAGTGTTTTTTTTTCCTTTCTTGTTTTTGTTCTCGGGACTGAGTCCCTTGTTGGAGACTTCGACTCCTTGGGTCCCTCGGGGGAGAGTAAGGCTTCTTGGAAGAGCTTGCCCTCGAACCAGGCCGAGGTCGCATTCCCTCTTGCCCTTTCAGAGGTGAGAGATATCCTTGAAGATTTTGAAGTTGGGGGCTACGCCCCATTCATGAGGCTGTGTTCCCTCTATCTTTTCAGGGGCAAGTCCTTTTTCTAAGGCCTTGCCCTCGGGGCCATACCCCCTTCAAAAGACTTTCGCTCCTTGGGTCTTTTTGGGACAAGTCCTTTTCGAAGGCTTTGCCCTTGGGGCCACACCCCCTCCATGAGGCTTCGCTCTTTGAGTCTTTTTGGGGCAAGTCTTTTTCTAAAGCCTTGCTTTCGAGGTCATGCACCTCTAGGAGGCTTTGTTCTTGTTGTCTCTTTGGAGGCAAGAGTCTTCTTGGAAGACTTTGCGTCCCGGGCCATGTCCCTTTCAGGAGGCTTCACTTCTGTTTTATCTTTGGAGGCAAGAGTCTTCCTAGAAGACTTTGCCTCCGGGGCTGTGCCCCTTTCAAGATGGTACACTTAGTGGAAATAAGTCATTCTTTCTCAAAAATAGTATTTTTTCAAATTCATTACATTCCAAGGTTGAAGTACAATATTCTCTTCCATATCTTCTAACTTGTATAATCCAGAACCTCCCACTGATATGACTATGTATGGTCCCTTCTAATTAGGTCTCATGTTCTCATCGACCAGGTCACGAGTGTTCCCGTTTACCCGCCAGAAAACCAGGTTGCCTATTCAAAATTTTTGGGTTTCACTCTTTTACTGTAGAGTTTGAACACCCCCTATTGATATTTTGCTATCCACAAGACAATCATTTCTCTTTTCTCCTCCGCAAGATCTAGGTCCAAGTCGATGTGGTGATCGTTCTCCCTCATGTCAAAAGCTTGCGTCCTTATTGTGTCCAACAAGATAACCACCTCCACTTCTTGGCAAGAGCATAAGGTGTCTCGCCCTTTGAGGTCGTTCCCACTCCCTTTGATTATCATATACAAAAAGGTCTCTTCCACTTTCCTACCAAATCTCTCTGTATTCTGGCACATAAATGAAGGGATCTAAGAGATTATGGCAGATCATGTTCAAATAAGCAAAGTTCCGTTATTGAGTGACAAATGGAAAGTTTATAACTTACGGCTATCTACTATAATATAATAAAATAAAAAATATAAGAAAATCCAAGAAAGAGAATAGCTCTATAATATAATGAAAAACTACCATGAATTACACACACACAAGTAGTGGCTCGGCTAGAGGAAGGAGCTGGAGCCTATGCACTACCGAAGAATGGACTTGATAGAATCCAATCAGACAAGATGAATGGTATGAAGGTTAGAGGGCAAAGCAAGCAACACAATAATAGGGGATTCATACGTAGTTGGGGAAGCAACCTAGGGATTCTCCCTAGCCACCAACCAAGCAAAGCAAGCCAGCCAACAAAGATTGATCCAGTTGCTATTGGGGACTTTCCCAAAGCCATTTAGGAGCTCTTCCACCATTTTCCCTTGGCTTTTTTCAGCCTCTTCTTAATTCTATTGATGATAGTCTTTTTTGAAGACTCTGCTTGTCTGTTGGCTTGAGCGTACGAAGGCATGGAGTAATAATTTTGGGTCCCAAGATGCTTATAAAAAGAATTTAAAGGTTCGCTGTTGAACTAAGTCCCGTCCCATTGTCTAATACGAGTGCTCGGGGGATCTTGAACCTCATCACTATGTTCTTCCATACAAACTTCTTCGTGTCTGTGTCCCTGATATGAGTCAACGGCTAAGCTTAGACTCACTTTGTGAAGTAATTGGTCCCAACTATTAAGAATCTTTTGTTTCTGGGAGCCTTTGGAAGAGGCCCGACCAAGTCAAGTCCCCATTGAACAAACGGTCATGAATTGGCCAGTGGGTGCAAGTCTCTTATTGGTTACTTGATGGCAGGGGCAAATTTTTGACATTGGTCGTACTTTCGCACGTAAGCTTGAGCGTTTCTCTGCATCCGCGACCACCGATATCTTTGTAACATGATCCGATGAGCCATGGACCTTCCACCCGAGTGCCCTCCGCATATGCCTTCGTGCACCTCATACAGGAGGGGCTCAACTTTATCTTCGTAGACACAAAGCAAATAAGGCTCAAAAAATGACTTTCGGTACAACTTTTTAATCCGAGGAGGCCCAG